TTTCTTAACATCTAACATGGCAAGCTAATACAAAATGGTACTATTGATACTAAGCACAGCTAGGCATAAGCATTATTGAATAGAAATTTCTTAACACCAGGAAGTGCTTCCATAGACACAGTTGCCCCTTCATTTGTTTGGTTCGTATCACGGAGCTTCTTGTCCTATCTATTCTTGAATAACTGAAACAGAACTTCATACACATTTTCTATTTCTTCTTCCCCGCTCCCCAAATTATTTCTGTCAATACAATCCTGCACCAGAAAACGGCAGCACGCCAACAAAAGATTCAGTTTTGCTCACCTAGATTTCCAGTTTCCCTTCTGCTGAAAGAGGAAGGGAACAAAACACCATAGTTTTTCTTCTGAACATCTACCCAACCCCCGGGACATCTATTCTCTCTGATGATCTCTCTTTCACGTCAAATATGTATTCTCACTTAACTGAAGGCCCTTCCATGTTGAAACATGAGCACTTTACACACATTAGAACTAAAAAGTTACTCCATGGAGGTTTAATAAGGTTTCTGCCTCTGCTGTACCTCTTTCTGCATTTGATTGAGGCCACTGCTAATGGCGTGTACTGAGAGCACCAAAGCTCTTTCCACATTCCATGCACTGAAATGGTTTTTCCCCGGTGTGAGTTCTTTTCCAATCTGCTGTATATTTGAATGTAGAGTCCTGAAGCTGAGGCTCCAGTACTTTCGCCATCTCATGCAAAGAGAAGACTCCCTGGAAAAGACCCTGTTCCCCGCCTCAGTTTTACCTCAGAGGCCACCGAGATACAGATACTGTGTGTGTGTACACATTCACCCACCCCACCTCAAGAGGCCAAATGGTTTCTTGTTGCCTTAAAAAAATAAAATAAATAAATAATTAATAACATAAGTAAATAAATAAATAAAGTAAATAAAATAAATAATTACTCCGGAAACATAAGGAGGCTAAACGCTTGAGAGAAAGGAAACTAAGAACAGCACCTCCGCCTCCTGAGGGAAAACTTGCTAATCCTCCCAGAGCTCCCCCTTCTCCACTCAAAAGCACACCTGGCCTCTTATCCATTCTTCCGTACAGAGAAAGGCACCCGGCGAGTAAGAGTGGCGGCGTCCCTCTTTGGAGGATGCCCGTGAAGGGAAGGTGCATCCTCTTTGAATTCTATAGTTTATGTATCCAGACAGCAAATATTCAAGTAATATTTTCTGTATGACTTTATCAGTCTCTCACACCATTATGGAGGAATTCTGGCCGACTCTTCTTTACAATGTTGCTTCAGTTTATTGAAGTTTGCGGGCATTTGTTTAAGGTCCTACCACAACATTCCTATCAGGTTGAAGTCTGGACTTTGACTGAGCCATTGCAAGACCTTGATATATATATATATTTGCGGGCGCAACTTGGGATTAAAGATGGGCATGAATCAGAAAAATACTAGTTCATGGGTCTGCATACCACAAACCACAAATCTCTGAACGTTTCCCTGATGAACCACGAATTGGTTCATCAGTTTGTCGGCCTATAAAAGGGCCCACCAGGGCAACTAAGAACACCCCCCTCCCCACTGTCCCCTCTTGAAAGGCAGCCCAGCCAGCTCCCAGTCGGCTCCCTCGTCACTCAAATAAAAAGTTTTAATTTTTTTTAAGTTTTAAAAATTCAAGAGGCAGTCCAGGGCTGTCACTGTGCATGCACTGGCATCTCAGGTGAGAGGTGAGTACACAGGCAAAGGCATACCCAGCCTGCGGAAGCCAGCCAGGCTGCATCTGAATTTTTTTTATTTTTTAAATTGTTCTTTTTGAGAGATAGTGGTTGCCTCTTGGCATGCACCCACCTGTCAACTGAGAGGTGGGTGTATGCTCAGAGGAACTTCTGCCTGTGGGTGCTACTGGAGCTTCCTCTCGAAAAAAGAAGAAATTAAGAGGAGTCTAGACTGTTGCCCCCAAATTAAAAAAAATAGAGCCAGTCTGCGGGCACATACACAGAGGCAACCCAGCTTGCAGGAGCCACTGGGCTGCCTTAAGATGGTGACAGTGGAAGACGTGGGAGCAGCAAAAGATAGGGAGCCTTTGGGACAGTGGGAAAGGGGTGGGGAGCAGGAGGAAGGGGGCACAGGCAAGCCATTGGGGTGAGGAGCAACGTTCATGGTTTGGGTCAGTTCAGGTTCTCTATTTCAGAACCAACAAACCAGCAATTTTCGACAAATTTCCTAGTTCTTTTCTTGGTTCGGGCCAAATCATCACCCCTCCACCACCGTGCTTGACAGTGGATATGAGGTGTTTGTGCTGATATGGAGTGTTTGATTTTTGCCAAATGTGGACCTATGCATTATGGCTAAACATCTCCACTTTGGTTTCGTGTGTCCTACGGACCTTGTTGCAGAAGTCTTGTGGTTTGTCCTGATGCAACTTTGCAAACCTAAGCCATGCTGCCATGCTCTTTTTAGAGAGAAGATGCTTTCTCCTGGCAACCATTCCAAATAAACCATACTTGTTCAGTCTTTTTCTGATTATACTGTCATGAACTTTAACATTTAACATGCTAACTGAAGCCTGTAAAGTCTGAGATATAAGTCTTAGGTTTTTTTGCAGTTTTTCTGAGCATTGCACAATTTGACCTTTGGAATCCATTCTTGGAAAATTGGGTACTGTCTTTCATGTTATCCACTTGTGAATAATCTTCCTCACTGCAGAATGATGGACTTCACATTGTTTGGAAATGGCCTTATAACCCTTCCCAAATTGATGGGCAGCAACAGTGGCTTGAGCTTGCACGGTCTGACCTTGGGGTGAATTTGCTTGGACGTCCACTCCTGGGAAGATTGGCAACTGTCTTAAATGTTTTCCACTTTTGAATAATCTTCCTCACTGTAGAATGATGGACTTCAAATTGTTTGGAAATGGACTTATAACCCTTCCCAGATTGATGGGCAGCAACAATTGCTTCTCTACAATCATTGCTGATGGGCTTCCTCCTTGGCATTGTGTTAACACACACCTGAATGCACCAGACCAGCAAACTGCTAAAACGTCAGCTTTTATAGAGGTGGTCACACTTGCTGTTAATCAGTTACTCAAGGGCACTGGGTTAGCAGCACCTGGCTGCTACTTAGCCTCTTAATTCCTGTGGAACCAGTAAAGGTGTACTTAGGTTTTCACACATGGCTTCTCCGTTTTGGCTTTACTTCTATGAAATAAGTAATGACACAGTGCAAATATGCCATGGGTTGTTGTTTATCTAAGGTTCTATTTACTCAATTTTCAGACCTGCTAAGGATCAGGATTTTTAAATTATTATGTCCTGATACGCAAAACCATAGAATTAAAAGGGAATGCACTTTCTTTCCCACATGAGTGTATCTGTTCTAATGGGACACTATTTTCTTCCTTTTTTCTCGGTGTCTTTTTTTCTATAGTTAGAATAGTTAGTTATGAATACTAGAGCCCTAAGAAGATGGAGATGTATTTTCCTTTGTCCTGGGCCGGCTTCCCTTCTGCCTTTCCCCCTCCTTTTTGGTGTCTAATTTTGTTCTTTTCCGCCTTCACATTCGGTTCTTTTCTATAGCAGAAAATGTTGTTCCATATAATTCTTGTTGTTCTGTTTGTACCTGATTGAGAAAAGAGAGAAGAAGGTGTGGCATGGAGGTTAAACTGCAGTACTGCAGCCAAAACTCTCCTCACGATCTGGGTTCAATGCCAGGTAGCCAGTTCAAGGTTCACTGAGACTTCCATCCTTCTGGTATATATAGACTAATTAGGCATACTAATACATATAAATGTGCATGGGAGAATCAGTGGGATCACATGATTTGAAATGCAATCTCATAAAATAAGAGAAATTTTTTTCAGCCTGCTGATAACAAGAGGAAGGAAGTTTTTTTTTCACAGCTATCTTTCTCTTCTCCTGCCACCTGCACAGCCCCATCAGTGACTTTTTCAGAAAGCCATATACAGTGGTGCCCCACATAGTGACGATAATCTGTTCCAGGAAAATCGTTGCTATCCGGAATCGTCGCTATACGGAATAAAAAACCCCATAGGAACACATTAATGTGTTCCTATGGGGAAAAACCTCACCGCTATGCGGAAATCCTCCATCTGGCCGCCATTTTCCTTGCCCGGTAAGCGAGGAAAGGGCGTGAAAACTCTGCGGGCGGCCATTTTTCCCCGGTGACCATTTTGGAACCACCGATCAGCTGTTTTCTAAACATCGCAATGCGAAAATCGGTAAGCGATATTTAGCCATTAAAACCATCGCAATGCGATCGCTTTTGTGATCGCAAAAACCACATCGCTATGCGGATTCGTTGTTAAACGGGGCGCTCGCTATGCAGGGCACCACTGTATGTTTATTTCAATGTCAGGGCCAGCATCAAGAAGAATGTGTTTCTCTTAGGCCACAACCGATTCGGAGAACCTGAAACTGGGAGAATAAAATACTACCACTTTGCCCATTATTCGAATGCTTTGGCGACATGCCTCGGATCATTTTACCGATTTGGCAAAATGCCCCGATGGGTGCTACTACACACCTACGTAGGTGAAAAACCATTCACAGCCCTAATCTAGGTGTTTCCTCAAAGAATCATGATTTTTGGCCCTTAAGAACCCTTGGTGGCCTTGAGTGTTTTCTTGTTACCTCCCCCGTTTAAGGAAGAATCATCCACAAGCCTTCTCTGAGTTGGAGTCTATGACCAACCATGGATTGACCTGAGAGTTGTTCTATCTAGCCCACCGTGAGATACCTTGAGCATCAGTTTATCATGTATGCATGTCTTCCATTTTCTGTTCCCTTAAAGCAAGGGGCATGTTCTCTGAAATTCATGGCTGACAGCACACGACACCCACTCCCCAACACCATCTCCCCGTGTCTTATTACAGTATTTTGCAAAAGGTGGGGGAAAACTCCCCTCTTCCCCGTGCAGGAGCCTTTCCAGAGGAAGAAACCATGTGCCTTGTTTTCTCCTTGGTTCTCCCCTTCCTTGCCTTGCAAAGGCATCCGGGGATCCACCGCCAGCCAGGTTGGTCCCCACCCCAACTTGGTCATCTCAGGAAGAAAGCCAACTCTTGCAACAATCATAAGGTCACACCCATCTCCGGCCCCTCTCTGTCTCTCCCTCAATATGGGCCATGGAAGTTATTTGGGGGAAGATCTCGGGGTGACCTGCCTCTGGGTGAAACGTCTGTCACATAATTATCTCCTCTTTACAGCATGTTATGTTCTGTTAATTGCACGGGGGTACTTCTGATCCAAATAAAGGAAATCTCACCTACCTTGCAAATGTTTGGACTCTTAATTCTTCTCTTTGGGTTCCGAATAGAGGGAAGAGAGATTAGTTCACTTTCCTGTCTGCGGTGGGGGGGGACGAAGAAAAAAAGATGAGTCTGGAGGCTTCTTGAACAAAGGAAACCAAAAGCTTTTCTCTTAGGGCAGATGCTTTTGTTCTTTCTATCTCAGGTGGGCTAGAAAAAGGAGAAGGGAAAGGCGGCTCAGAAATAATAGGGAGGGAGGAAAGCAGGAG